GTCGCAGAGCACAGGCTCCGGATGCGCAGGCTCAGCGGCCATGGCTCACGGGCCCAGCCGCTCCGCGGCATGTGGGATCTTCCCGGACCAGGGCACGAACCCGTGTCCCCGGCATCGGCAGGCAGGCTCTCAACCACTGCGCCACCAGGGAAGCCCAGAAAAAAAAATTGAGATTTGCAGGTGGTTTGTACTTTGGGCCCAGCTTCTCCTGATGGATACAGGGATCCTGTCTATTTCACCTCCTGAAGAAGTGTCCATGGAGCATTTGACCTGCTCCAGCCTGGCCTGGTGGCCCTCTGCACCCCTCCCCTCCCTTCTGCATTGAATGCCTCCTTCCTGGATCACATGCCTCCCTCTTTCTCCGTTGGCTTCTTTATTTTGGTGAAGAATTATCTCTGGTAGCATCCTACCATGAGAAAGAACCCATGGGTAAAATTTTTGAGATTTCATTCATCTCAAAGTACTTGGTTTATATTTTCACTGGGTAAAGACTGGAGAATAATTTTCCTTTAGATTCTCAAGGCTTTGCCTCTCGCCTTCTGGCTCCTGACCATCTCTACGTGACCTACTTCTAATGTCAGCACACTTTGGTCCCCATTATTCTGAACTTCAACAGTGATGTGCCTTGGGGTAGAACTATTTTTTCCCATTGAGCTCCCTGTGGGCCCTTTCAGTGCATGCTCCTGAGTTTTAGAGATTTTTTAAAGGATGAATTAAATGATGATTCCTCCCACTTCCACCCCCTGCCACCCGTGTTTCTCTGATCACTCTTTTGGGGTTCCTATTATTTGATCGATGGACTTTCTGGATGGTACCCCTTTATTTTTTTCTCTATTTCCCATTTTTGGGGTTCCTTTTGTTCTGCTTTCATAGAGATTTCCTCAACTTTATCTTCCAATCCCTCTCTCTGGAGGTTTCTTTTTTTCTTTCATTTCTGCTACTTTAAATTTCCAAGAACACTTTTTGTTTGCTCTCCGAATGTTTCTTTATATGTGGCCTCGCTTCATGGGTTGCCATATTTTCTCTGATGACATTGTTGATGACTACGTTGCCATGTACTTCTCTCTGCATAGTCTCTGTTTCCTCCAAGTTGCTTTTAAAAAATCTGTTGGGGCTTTAGGTTTCATGACACAGGTTTTCCTGAGATGCTGGGTCAGCTTCGGCTTCCTGTGAAACCCCGATTAGAAGCTCTGCACACATTGGGGCTCATTACTTGCGCCCTTCCCTCTAGGGTGGTCTGGCTGCTCCCTTGGGCAACCATAGGTGTCAGAAAGTTTAGGTGTTCCCCTCAGCCTGGTCTAATGCCCCAGGAAAGACCCTTTCAGCCTCCTGGCTGCAGGCATTCTGAAAACCCAGAAGAGGGAATGGGGCATGGTCTCAGCATCTAACACCTATAGGTTCATTTAACCCCTCTGTTCCTATTATGGCACCTCTGCCCTTAATTGTGAATGGTATCTCTCAGCCCAAGATGTGTCCTTTTACCTTCTTTAGATGACAGACATCCAGTCTTTTATCAGGATGGGGAAGGCAACACAGATCTGGTGAGAGGATCTGGGCATCTGGGTGCTTCTTAAGCAGACTTTATGCCAGCTATTATCTTAGCCCCCATCACACCCGCATCCAGAGGTGCCTAGTGCCATCCATTGGTGAACCTTCTGGGGACTCCAGAGTTTGTTCTTGGCTTTCCTTCCTGGCTACCATTTCAAGATTTCGTTTTCTCAGGCCTGCTGAGTATTTTAGCTTCAACAACCGTGTTGCAGTTACTTCTTCCCTTGCTTGCCCCATTCTTGCCAATTTCTGCCTTAGAGCAAGCAAACTTACTGCTGTGTCAGGAGGCTCCAAAAGTCAGTCAACACATACTGTCAATCCACCACCTCCAGCGGAAACCTCAGCCCCCTTTCCAGTCCAGCCTCTTCACTCCAGACACATGCCCATCCACTTTCTCTGGGCTGATCCTCCCGACCCTGCTTTTGTTTATCCTGTTCCTTCCATCTGACACTAGATCTCACCCACCTCATACATACAGAAACCACCTCTGTCAAAATCCTCTTAAGCAAGGAAAACACGGCCCGTGGCTATGGTGACATTTTCCTCTGGGGAAGACAACTGTATGTATCTGGAAGATACTCCCATGTGGGATTGGGGCCTCCTTCCATAAACAATCATTTATTTATTTAATTTTATTTTGTAAAACATTTATTCATTTATTTGGTCGCACCGGGTCTTAGTTGCAGCAGGCGGGCTCCTTAGTTGCGGCATGCATGTGGGCTCTAGCTCCCTGACCAGATATCGAACCCGGGCCCCCTGCATTGGAAGCGTGGAGTCTTAACCACTGGACCACCAGGGAAGTCCCCATGAACAATCATTAAAGGCCTGAGAAATAAACCAAGGGGCTGAGTTTTGCCTCCAGAATGCCACAGGGGCACAGCCAAAATCCTCAGGGAGGCTGCATCCATGCAGAGCCCTGTGGGCTGTTTCGGGCTGTGGATGGGGGTGGGGTATGTGTCAGTGCAGACGACCCTTGACCCAGGCCTGCCTCCCCTCACCCAGGGCAGGTGTCTTGCCCATGGTCAAAGCCCAATGTCTAGAAGGGTGCCTACTCCTAGGTGTGTGCAGGCTGGGGTGGCCCAAGGGATCATGGAGAAAGGGGAGATGTGGTACCTCGAAGACTTGAGCAGAATACTGCGGGCTGGAGAGGGATGGGGAGGGGATGGGTGGCTGGTAAGTCAACGTAGGGCCAGCTCCATCCTTAATGAAGTGACTGATTGTGACATGTGGTGAGACTGCAGGAACATTCTGAATCATTATTTGGTCAGAACACAAATCTCTTAAATGTCATCAACACAATCTGCCTGGGAGAAGAATGACTACTTCCTGCCAATAGGAGACCATCTTAGAGGAACCTGACCCAGCTGGCTGGTACAGAGCCCCCCCGCCCCGAATAGCATGCGGTGTGGTCTTCGGGGGGGGGGGCACGCACTCCACCAGTGAGAAGGTACTTTAGGGCTTTAGTCACAGATACCCAGGGCGCCCAAACGTCCACACCAGTTTACAGGTCACCATGACATGCAACGCAGAATGCCTGGCTCCGTTCCTCCTTAGTGACCTGGAAAGAGATTTTTCTACCCAGGCCCCAAATTAATTGTGAGAATGGCTGCTATTAGTTTTGTGCGCAGAATGACTTTGTCCCACCCACCCTTCTCCGGTCCGCAGGGATCCAGTGCCTGGGCGGCCCTCCCTCTCCAGGCTCCCCGCGGGCAGCTGACATGTTTGAACGTCCATTAAGAGCTGCAGACGCCGGCCAGTCTCCCCGGGTCAGGGGCTTGCTGCGATCGGTTCCGGTCTCTACCCTCTATGGTAATGGCCTAGGCCTGTAGCAGAACGGCGGGGCGGGGAGGGGGGGCCTAGAGAGAGTGAGGGTGAGGGCGCCGGTGAGGGCCAAGGGCAAGTGGGCGGGGCGGGGCAGGGAGCATTTCCTCCGCCAGGCCCGACAGTGGGTGGGTGGGGCGCGGTGGGAGGGGCCCTCGCAGCCGGTGGCTTTTGAAGCCTCCCCGGCAGAGGTGGGAGAGGGGCAGCCGGGAGAAGTTGGCAGCGGGCCTGGGGAGGGGAGGCGGAGGAAGGGGCCCTGCGTTCCCTAAGCGGCGGCGCCGACGCCCCGGCACGTAGTTCACTCCTGCGAACACAAGACGCGGTGGACACATCACCCGCGCTGCCAGGCTAACCACCAGCTTGGGGCCAGTCGGGCTCCGGATGACCCGGGCTCAAGGGCAGCGCGGCGCGGCTCGATCCCCGGCCGCCGGACGGTCGGGGACCTCCGAGGCCCTCCGGCGGGAGTGGCCCCTCCCCACCCGAGACCCCGCTCCCGCCCGGGCAGGGCCGAGCGCCGGACTCAGCAGGGGAGGAGCGTGCAGCGGGCGAGCGGTCTTTCTCGCGGCGAGGCCGCCCAAGAATCCGGCTTCGGCGGGGTGCGGCGGGGTTGTTCCGCGCCGGCTGGAGCGGACACGCCTCCTCGCCGGGCACCTCACTCCGGAGAGGAAAGGGAGAAGCAGAGGCGAGCCCCGCAGGGCGAGCTCTCCGCCGCGCCCAGCACAGGCGGGGCTAGAGGGACAAAGGGGTGCCCTTCAGAGCGCTCGTCTCCGCGCCGGGGTTCAAGGCTGTCACGGTACAAAAGCTCCGACAGGAAAACACCCCGCGGGGTCCCCGCCGCAGAAGGGAGGGGGCGCGGCCCCGCCCCAGCCCGCCGCCCTCGGACGTCGTGCGTCAGCGTGCCCGGCTTCGGGCTCCAATTTCCGCCCCTCCTCCCGCCGGCCAAGGAGGCACGCCCATTGGCACGCGCACGCCCCGAGGCCGGGTGGGCGCCTCTCTCTGTACGGATTGGCCCTGCCGCGAAAGCGAGGACCAATGGCGTCCGCCCTTGTCCTCGGCCACGCCTCCTCCCCAGGCGTGGGCGCGTGACCGCTCCATCCCGCCGAGGCGCGCTCCGGGATCCCCGCCCCCTCCGCGTGCGCAGCTCTCCGCTGCCGCCGCCGCCGCCTGTAACCTGCGCCGCCAGGATGTGGCTGGGGGCTGACGTCGGGTCCAGATGTGGCCCCGGCCCCGCCCACCCCCGGGGCCGGGCCGCCCACACCGAGCCGCGGCGCGCGCGGCGGCTGTCCCGCCTGCCACAATGCGCGGCGAGGCTGCGGCCGCGACTTGGCGCGATCGTCCCTAACGTCGCCACTCGGCATCCTTAGGGCAGGCCTCCCCTGACGCCCCGCGGGGACCCCTCTCGCCCGCGCCCCCCATGCGCTCACTCTTCGGTGCCCAGCCAGGCGGGCGCCTCGCAGACGCGGAGCCGCGCGGGTGACGGCAGAGGCGGCTGCGCGCCCAGCCCAGCCCGCGGAGAGGGCGCGCCGCGCCCCCGCCCCCCGCCAGCTCTCCGGAGGCCGTGGGTGCGGATGCGCCGCTGACGACTCGCAGCGACCAGCAGTGCCGCCCGCCCGCCGGCCGGAGCCCGCAGCATGGCAGCCGCCGCCTATGTGGACCACTTCGCCGCCGAGTGCCTCGTGTCCATGTCGAGCCGCGCGGTCGTGCACGGGCCGCGGGAGGGGCCGCAGCCCGGACCCGAGGGCGCGGCCGCTGTCGCCGCCACGCTGCCCCGCGTCGAAGAGCGCCGCGACGGCAAGGACAGCGCCTCGCTCTTCGTAGTGGCGCGGATCCTGGCGGACCTTAACCAACAAGCGCCGGCGCCCGCCCCCGCGGAGCGCAGAGAGGGCGCCGCGGCCCGGAAGGCGAGGACCCCCTGCAGCCCGAGGCGGGGCTGGAGCCGGAGCGAGAGCCGGGGCCCGCGGGGAGCGGCGAGCCCGGCCTCAGACAAAGGGGCCGGCGGGGTCGAAGTCGCGCCGACCTCGAGTCCCCGCAGAGAAAGCACAAGTGCCACTACGCGGGCTGCGAGAAAGTTTACGGGAAATCCTCGCACCTCAAGGCGCACCTGAGAACTCACACAGGTCAGTGGGGCGGCCCGGGGCCAGTGCGAGTTGCCCGGCCACGCCCCCGGAGCCGCCGGCGGGTAGCGAGGGGAGGTTGGGCCGGGAACGGTAGGGGCCTCGCCCCTGTCCCAGCCGCTTGGGGCTGCGGGCGACACCCCGCGCACCGCGCGAGGCGGGTCCCGGCGCTGGGAGCCGGCGCCCGCCCGGCGACCGCGCCCCCGCCGGGCACGCCCCCTCCCCGAGCGCGCTCGGGCGGGGCCGCGGGGGCGATTGTCGTCATCAGGGCCGGGGCCAGGGCCGGGGGCGGGGACCCCGCCCAGGCCGGGGGGCGCGA